ACTTCCACTTACAGAATAAATACCTTGAAGGACTGCAGAACTGAGAGGAAATATAAAAAATATCAAGTCCAATGTGGTTAAGGTGGGGATCTGATCTATCTTACATTGGTAGAAAGAGAGATTCTACTCAGGTCACAGGACATACACCAATGTAAAACCACTGTAGGCAAGATCAGATGCAGGTTTTCTGGTTCTATTTCTTTTTTGCCAATTATTCAGGTGTAATAACTGGGAAATCTCAACATTGCATAAATCCCCTTCACACAGGAATCACACAAAAAGGACAACAGAAAGCTTCAGTTAAATGGCGAATGATAAAGGAAACTGATAATTCAACTATAAGCTCCCTCCCCCATCTTGTTATACTGAACAAACACAAAATAACTTTAAATGGTATTAAAAAATCTCACATTTTCCTTGCAGTTACCAGGAACCCTTGGCATTAAATGGAATGAAAAGAAAAGACAGACTGGCAAGCCACAGATACACCACAGGGTGGAGAAATCAGCTTTAAGCAGAAAATCTGTTTCAGATACCAAACACCAATGCAACCTGTATGAGTCAGCAGTGTGTTCTTGTTGCAAAGAAGGTTAAAGGCCTACTGGGCTGCATTAGAAGGAGTGTTGCCAGCAGATCGAGGGAAGTGATTCTTCCTCTCTATTGGGCACTGGTGAGGCCACATCTGGAGTACTGTGTCCAATTTTGGGACCCCCATTATGGAAAAGATGCGGACTAATTGGAGAGCATCCAGTGAAGGTTAGGGGGCTGGGACATGACTTATGAGAAGACGCTGAGGGAACAGGGCTTGTTTAGTTTGGAGAAGAGAAGACTGAAAGGGGGTTTAATAGCAGCCTTCAACTACCTGAAGGGGGGTTCCAAAGAGGCTGGAGCTGGACTGTTCTCAGTGGTGGCTGATGACAGAACAAGGAGCAATGGTCTCAAATTGCAGCAAGGGAAGTTTAGGTTGGATATTAGGAAAACTTTTCTCATGAGGAGAGTAGTAAAACACTGGAATAGGTTGTCCAGAGAGGTTGTGGCATCTTCATCCTTGGAGGAGTTTAAGACCCAGCTAGACAAAGACTTGGCTGGAATGATCTATTGGGGCTGGTTCTGCTTTGAGCAGGGGGTTGGACTACATGTGACCTCCTTAGGTCCCTTCCAACCCTCATTTTCTATGATTCTATGATTTGTTAAATCCACTGTCAGACAATTAGAAGGAAAGGGTTTTTCAACTAAAACAGTTTTTAACAAAACATGTCTCCAAAGAGAGTTTCTGCTTGCTTTGAAGTTTTCCATCCTTTGACAAAACATAAAACATTTTCTACAGAAACATCTCCAGCCCTATTTTTCTTGTCAGCTCTAATCTTTGCACTAAATTGTAATGCCTTGGCAGGTGTGAATATTCCCACTAACACAGGGCTGTACAATTTCAGGGCAGCTAGGGGCTGCACCCTGGACCAGTCATGGGTCCCAGGCTGCGCACTGTGCAGACCACATGTCTCAGGGGCTGCTTACCATGTGGGCCGCTCAGGTCCCCTGTCATGTGGGCCATGTGAACACCCCTCTCATGCCACTGCTTTTGAGCTCCACCTTATACCACCACTGTTAGGGTGACAATATTTGGATTTTCGGGGAGCATTGAATCTGCAGCTGAATAAAATCTGGGGTGAGGTGGGCATGCTAGTAGGGAGGGAAAGACTGCAGAAAGACCTGGATAGGTTGCAAGGGTGGGCTGACAAAAACAGGATGCGTTTCATTATGGACAAGTGCAGGGTGCTGCACTTGGGCAGTAGTAACCGGCAACACACTTATAAGATGGGAAACTCCCTTCTTGAGAGCACGGAGGCAGAAAGGGATCTTGGAGTCATCATTGACTCCAAGATGAACATGGGC